AACCTCCAAGCAAAAGCAGGATTCAAATGCAAAGCTGGGGGCGGGAGGTGGTGGCAAAGGAAACGATTTTTCAATACAGTACTGTAGGGGAGGAAGCCAGGTAAAGAATACAGCACTATGGGGGCCCTGTCTCACTCCTCCCATTTCTTTTGGGACATTGGTCATTCAAGATCAGTGTCCATTTTGAACTACAGCCTGGCTCAGAATTGTTTGGCATGTTTTCGGAGAGGGGCAAATATCAGACCTAGGCCTTTCATTGTGGCTACTGACCTCTTGTCGGTTTATAACTGATTATTTACTAAGTATCAAAAGAAAAAGGGTGGCTTTTATGCCCTGTTTATGTGGATGTCTCCCTAAAAGATTCTCTCTCTTTTTTTTTCAAATTGTCTTAGCTATTGTCTTTATATCTCAGGGCCGAGTTGATGTGTCTTTATGAGTCTTGTAAGTCCAGTTCCAGCTGGGTTACATTCTTTATGCTCAAGGACTGGGAATAATGGCTCCAATATTATCTCCTAAATCATTCTTTTCTTTTGATCAGAGATTGGAGATATTAATACCTGGACTTAGTTGAGCCCTTAGATGGTAGCCATGGCAGGCTCTTTAAACTCATGGTGCTGGTTTTCCACTGGATACCATCTGGTTCTTCATCAGGATCTTAAGTAAGGGCGATGTCAATCACATTGCCGAAGTGAGCAGACTCAACGTACATCAACCTTTTAGCCTGAGGCCTTCTTTTGCCCTTTTAGGTGTGTAAGACAATAGAAGATTAATTTTATTATGCCTAACATTATCAGGATGCAGACTAAGACTATTACTATCTCTTGCAGTAGTGATCTAGCCCATGTACTTATTCCTGATGGTAACCAACCAAATAAATCTGGTGTTTAGGAGTGTTACAGTGTATAACCAAGTAGCTTGCTGTCCAATTCTATGTATATCCTGTTTTACTTCTCCTGTGTTATTTATCCAAATGCAACAAGAGGTATTTACTACAGCACAGACTACACTTTCTTGGGCTAATAAAAAAATCTAAGGCTATTTTGTTATCTCATGTCACCTTGGCTAATGAGGTCAGATTACTGCTGTGTTTTTATCTCATTAGCAACTTCGTCTGTTATTTGTCCCATAATGATTGATACATTTCTTAAAGATTTCTCCAATTCAACTATACCATAATTAGGAATTAAGGCTACCAACCATACCCTGAGTATTGGACCAATGGGTTTCTTTTTAACTCTTGTTTTATAGTGTGTAACAATTTAACATTACCTTTTCAATATTTACTAGCATCATTACTATGACTATCTAAAGATAATCTTAAAATTCTCAAAGTGCATTGCCCATGCATTCACCATGAATCTAAACAAGAGATTGCCCATATAAACTCACTGTCAGTTGGAAAAGGATCATTTAAAACCAGTATAGTTGGATCCACCACACAAAAAGTTTGTCTAGAGGAAACAGACGGTATAGAAAAATTCACATGTGACAACCAGATTTTCATTAGAGAATACACGATTAACAAGATGATATAGGCTGGACCTCTCTTGTTGGAGGTCTTCAGTTAACCTGTTTAAAACATACTAAGTGCTCTTCTCGAGGGCAAGCTGTCCCTCCTTGCTCTACCTATTAACAGTCATGGGTCACTTTCTCAGAAGCAGACGTGTCACAGGACTGTTTTTATGAGAGAAAAACTTCTAATCTGAGAGTTACAATATCTAAACCCATTAGTTAAATAATTTAGGAGAAAGAAAAATGATTTCTTATATCTAGAAAGTAGGACCTTAAAACAGCAATAGTCCCACATAAAACCCATAGTTTCCTTTTGTTTACTCAGTCTTATGCAGTTAATTTCTGTTCCATGTGATTCTGGATCAGCCAGTCTGTGAACCCGTCAGCTTCTGCATAGGAGTTCTGGAAATTTTATTCAGTCTAGTCACAGTCCTTTTTGCAAGTCCAATATAGTCCATCTTTTTGTTGAGATATTTTGGTCAAACATTTTCAGCAAATTAGCAAAGTAAAAACTTATCTGCAGATGACAAAACTTAATATGACCATGGTTAACTTATAAAAATAATACTCTTATAGTGAAAGACCTGATAGAAATTAATTGCAAGCATAACATAAAGGCCAAATAACGTTAAAAAAAAAAAAAACTTTAGATAAAAATATTTCTAAATGTAACTATTAACCATATTTTTAAAGAGCTTCAGATATAATACCTAATAATTTTGAGGCATAATACCATATAGTCAGGATATACCAAGAATATGCCAAGATTATCAGATCTCTACCTGAATAGTAATAAAAAAAAAAACTTCATAGGTAAATGATGTGAATTCCGATCAAACTATTGGCTTTGATAAAGTTGCAACCAAGTTAGCAATTAAGAAATAAAAACTTATGACATAATATTAGGTGTTTGCTGTCTAATATTAGGCAAAAACACAAGAGGAAATACTAACATATAATCTTAACCCAGAGAGAATCAGCCATTTTTCTTGATTTTGACAACACCTTCCATGTAATTTATTAAATACAACTTTTTAGCACTTTTCCTTTATAAGAATTTTTGTGGCTTTCCATGAAGTTTCAGAGTTGTCAGGAGTTTATTATAGGTCACCATGAAACAACACTTAATTATTTAACCAAAGATCTTAAAGTAAAAATCTTAGCTTTTTTTTCCTAAAAGCTATGGGGCTTGGTTTTCAGTTTAGGAATCTTATTCTAATGAGGCCAAACCTCTGCCTTCAAGGCAGATTACACAAAGAATACATTAACCCTTCAACACAGAAATCAAAGAAGGTTTTGTTATTTTAACAGCAAGAAAACCAATTCTCTGTTTTATATTTATTTAATGTTAAAGCTCCTAAAAATCTCATAAATTAAACCATTAAACTTTAGTCAGACAGGTAAAACTTTGGACCATATCAAATAAATTTCTTTTTTAATAAACCTCTTAAATGCTCTCTTTGTTGCATACCTCTTACAGTGCATCCCTTTAAATGGCAAAAAGGAACACACTCATTAGCAGATGAAAATATACACATATAGGTATCCTCTCTTGTGGCATAAAAAGCAAAAGTATATACGCTTAAATTATGACAAGTATCTGTTAACTCAATTTAACATCAATAAATTACCTAAAAGCTCTTAGAAATTATTTTAAGCCTGTATACCATAAAACCTAGGTATTGTTGAAAGAAAGTCTGTTTAAACATTCTAAGTTTTCATTCAACTTTTACTATTTTCCAAATCTAATTTTAGCCCTTAAAGATTTTATCAGCTGGCTTTGGAAATCACAAAGTCTCTGCTAAGCTGACCAATTCACTGATGTGGATATAACCGTAAGTTTCTGACTAGGGTTGGAAACATTTTCCCAGGCCATTTGAAGTGTACCTCATTGTGATTTCTTTTTTTTTTTTTTTTTTTCCCGGCTTTTTAAAGTTCCCCCACAATAGAAAGAACATGCTTACAGTTCTTTTATGAATTAGGATCCACTCAATTTCTGATAACTATACTAAAGCAGCAATTTTTCTTATCTTCTTTTTGTCTTAAAAGGGTCTCCACCTAGGTGGAGAGAGTCTTTCAAAAGCTTCCCTGCAGCTATAGGACCTTGGAGACTGGGGGCTGGGGTACCCTGATGTTGCCCTACCCTTTCTATTTTTTTGACTCATGGTAGAAGACAGGATTAGGCCTTTCTGATTCATTTACATACGTTTAAATTGATCTAGGCATTTCGAAAGGCAAAAGATAACTAATTTCTTTCCCTTTTATTATTCTCTTGGAAAACAGTTTTGCTTTCTCTTTATCACAACCTTTTATCTACCCAGTAAATACCAAAGCCTTTTAGGAATTTTTTTCTAGGCTTGCCTCCTTTTTCATACTCTGGAACTGTTAGTTTTATTTTAAGACAAAATTAGCCTTTTTCTTTAAATAAATCAAATTTCATATAATATCTAGCTTAAGTTACTTAGAAAGGCTTTGCTTTTATGACTGACTTAAAGTTTTTCAACATAGCTACTAAAAGTCTAAATCATGAGACAGAAACAAGGCACAGTTTTTCTTGGATGAGGAAAGAACCGAGGTTCTAAGACAGTCTTACAAAAAACAGCAATTCTCAGCCATAGCCTACAAGACTGAAACTTAGACACAACGCTGTAGTCCAGAAGCTCTCAGAACAAAAGGAGGCAAAAAGACCACATACACTCACCAAACAATATCACACAAAACAAGGATATGGGGATTCTAGTTTCTTAAAGTGTGTACAGCAATATTTGGTAAGATCAACTCAATTCAATGGAAATAACAGATTTCAGATAAAACTAACTTGCCAGAGCATCAGAGGGAGGAATATTATTATGATTCTTTATTGAGAGATTCTGTCATAAAACAGGTATGGAGCTATTATTTCTCCCTGCAAATTTTATAAAACAGGTCAGGAGCTGCCACTTCTCCCTGCCAATTTGGCAAAACAGAGCACTGTTTTCCAGGTATTCTCTGAGCCACAAAAAGAAACCTAACGAGGAACGCTGCGGGGTTTGGACAATGTTTCACTTAGACCAATGTGTACCTTGGTTGCGAGAGTGTTTGCTTGTGGGTGGCAGGGAGCCTAAGTGCTCTGGCCTGTCTTGTGATGAGCGCTGGTGACCACCCTAATGGCTTTTACTGGTCGACCCGTGTGTGAATTTTTGCAGCTTATAGTGGCTCAGAGCTCTTTTAAAATAGAATTACCTCTTTAATGTTTCAAATGCCCAAATCCGGACCTAAACTGCAGTTCACCAAGAGTTACTAGACATTACTCTTAAACAAACGATCAAGTAAAAATTTAAGAAAGATTCTCCTTAATCAAACAACTGGTTTTTCAAACAAATATGCTGAACAAAACTTAAGAAAATATGAGAAAAAGAATAAGCAAAGGCTCATTTTCTGAGAGCACTCACCCCATGGGTGTTGAAGGGACGTGAAGTGCGAATGTAAGATATTACCTCTCTTTTTTTGCCGGCTTCTGCTCCGCAGTCCAGGTCTCCTTGAGGTCGACTGGTTTCGTGGTTTTAGAATCCTTGCAGCAACTATACCATTAAATCTTGTAGGGGAAAATACCACAAAGTTTAGTAAAGCAAAAAGAAAGGTTTTATTCAGCATATATTTAAAGAGGCAAAAATAGGAAAGGGACAAGCATGCTGCCAAAGCCATGTCTGTCCAAGTCTCTGTTCCCAATTCTTAAGGATGCATCTTAGCAGGGTGCATTTCGGGATCTCTTGAACATTCCCCATTCTCTAGATACACACACTTATGCACTCATACAACCTAATCCAGTGCACCAATTTAACAGGTACCCGAGCCTTCTTTTTTATGCCCTCAGCGGTCAATTTCTCCTGCCTCTTGGGGATCTTCTAAGGCCTTACCTAGGCATTTACCAAACAACCCAAGTGCATTTCATGTCTCTCTCAGAGCCATCATTTGGGTCCCAAGGGGGACTGGCTTTCAGAGCTGCTCCAAGGTCTCCAGGAGAAATCTCCTGGTGGCACCAGACATCAGGGCCAGTCTGTTGTCCGATCTACCTCAGGAACTGAGCAGATGACTCCTGGCTGGCTTGCCAGAAATGTTACCAGGTGGAAACCCCAGGTTCTTACTCAGTATGACTAGTACTGGCCAATAAACGAGAGACTGAGGTAGGAGAACAGAAAAGTCACCTTTATTTTGTTGTACAAGGAAATAGAGTCAGTTGGAGCTGCTGCTGCCAAGACTGCTTGCCAAGGGTAGGCAGGCAGGTTACTTTTAAAGGAGTTTACAAGTAGGGAGTTCATACAAATTACATCAGCAACATTCTTAATCATACTACACAGGCGCAATGGGGTTTACATATAACCTCCAAGCAAAAGCAGGATTCTAATGCAAAGCTGGGAGGGGCGGGACAGCAAAGGAAATGATTTTTCAATATAACACTGGAGGGGAGGAAGCTGGGTAAAGAATAGAGCACTGTGAGGGCTCTGTCTCATTATTATAGACTTTTAGTTGATTTTTTGGTGTTTACTGGGGAGGGCTGGGATCTTACATTTTCTCACACTGCCATATTCCTAGAATTCAAGTGTCATGGTTTTAATGCCCAAAGGCCATATTCACAATAGTTAGTTAAGCTGGTGCAATATCCAGTCAGTCCAGGAGTTTGGTCCAAAAATCTCAGCTTCCCTTCCCTAGTCAGTTCAGACCCCAGCTGCCAGTGCAACCAGGGGCCTATCCTCAGAAAATAGTGCCTGTGGCAGTTAGTTTTGAATTGCTAAATTATCTCTCATAGCTGTCAATGGAAACTTCGATGGGCAATAGAAACAGCTCATTAGTGCCCCATCTCAAGTGGCGCCCAGGGCACGCATCCTACGTGTCATACCTTAGTTACACCTTTGACTGCCGCCATTTCTCTCTCATCCTCATTCACCCAGAGATAGGTCTGTGGGCACTGGATCCTTCTCTTTCTCATCCTCATTCGCCCAAGGATATGTCAGAGGCCGCTGGTCCCTTCTCATTTCTTAGGTCCAACAATCCAATGGAATGACTCACAAACTACAAGGAATGGGATATCTTTAATCTAGAGTGAAAAAGGATATAAACATAAAAGGGAGGTCCAGGAGGGGTTTCAACACAGAGCTTCCATGTCCCCACGGGATGTGCTTACCCTCCCAAGAGCAGAATGTTTGCTCCCTCCAACTTCAAAGTTCCAGTGAGCCTTTGTCTTCCAAGGCCTTTTACTGGCCTCACCATGTGGCCATAATAGATTACCTCATGCTTCCTGAGGCTTGATAGGCCCTCTTGGTCAGGTAGGCCCCCACTCCTTGGCCTCAGTTGGGGTCCTGCTCTCAGGAACCAGGATAAAAGGTCAAATTGTTTATTGCAAAGGGGTTCAACACCTCACAGCTGGGAATCCTGAAGGATGCCAGAACTGCTTCCCTCAATGATAAGATCAATTTATCTCCAAGCCATGCCTACTCTGTGTGCCTTGGATAAAAAAAGAGAGAGGAAAAAAAAAAAAACTTTCTCTTGACTGTGCATGAGGCCCACAGGGGGTTAGCCCCTAATGAGCTGAAGCCCCATTTTATCTGCCAGAGTAGTGTTAAGAAAGGCTTGCTAAAACAAAATTTAAATAAGATCTAGAGTCTTATAACAAAAATCAAAATGTCCAGGTTTCAATCAGAAAGCACCCATCATACCAAAAACTAGGCCAACACTGAAATGATAGAGATGTTAGAATTACCTTGCAAAGACTTTAAAGCAGCCATTATAAAAATGCTTCAATGAGCAATTATGAACATGCTTGAATTAAACGACAAAATAGAAAGACTTGGCAAATACAAAGTTTCAGCAAATGAACTGAAGAAATAAAGAAACAAATTTTAGAACTGAAAAATACAATAATATAAAACACTCACTGGATAGGCTCAACAACAGAATGGAGATGACAAAGGAAAGAACCAGTAAACCTGAAGACAGAATAGAAATTACCCAGTCTGGGAAAAACAAAACAAAAACAAACCAGAAAAATAATCTGGAAAAAAAAAATAAACAAGGCTTCAGGAACATTTAGGGTTTGTTGTAGGGGAAAAACATCACAAAGTTTAGTAAACTAAAAAGAAAGTTTTATTTGGCACATATTTAAAAGGACAAAAGTGGGAAGCAGACAAGCATGCTGCCAGAGCTAGAATGTCTGCCCGAATCCAAGAAAGGTTACAGAATCATCAGTATATATCAACATCACAAAATGGGTAGAATCATTGAAAGCGTCACTTTTTCACTGATTGGCTAGAAATTGTAATCTTACATTTTGAATCATCTTTCTTATCACTGGTATGGGTTTCAGTTACGAAAGTCAGGAGGGTCTTCATTGGTCCAACAAATTTCTATTCACTAAATGTTAATAGAAAAAGACAAAAGGTGAGAAGTCCTTTGTGTTAGGTTTGACTGCCCTTTTGTGAAAACTTCCTTAAGATAATTTCTGAGATTGTCCCATCTATTGTCTTATGTCAGGGCCCAGTTGATGTGTCCTTATGAGTCTGTGAGGGCCCAGCCCCAGCTGGGTCACATTTCTCCATGCTCATGGTCAGGGAATAATGATTCCAAATATTATTTTCTAAATCAGGTTATAATGAAATATCTAACATTCGTGCCTTCCAGGTTTCAGAAGGAGAGGAATAAGAAGTTGGAGGTGAAATATATTTGAAAAAATAATAGCTGAAAATTTCCCAAATTTGGGGAAAATGAAAAACTCATAAACATACAGATTCAAGAAGCTGAGCAAACCCAAAAGAGAATAAACTGAGAGAAATTTATACCAGGACACATTATTATCAAATTTCTGAAAAGTAAGGAGAAAGAAAAAAATCTTAAATGCACCTAGACGTTATTTACATATTATAATAGATTTTATTTATTAAAATAATCTTTGGGATCTAGGACTTGGTGAATAGTTCTTAGACATGACATCAAATTCATGATTCATAAAAGAAAAAATTGAAAAATTGATATATATTCAAAACTTTAAAAAAGCAAACAATCCAATTAGAATATGGACAAAAGTATAAACAGGCATTTCACCAAAGAAGATATAAGATGGCAAATAAGCACAAGAAATAACGTTCAACATAAATATCCATTAGGGAAATGCAAATTAAAATTACAATAAGATATTATTACATGCCTGTTAGAATGGCTAAGGAGTGCTGTTGGTGCAGTGATTAAAGTGCTTGGCTGCTAACCAAAAGGTCGGTGGTTTGAACCCACCAGCTGCCCTGTGGGAGAAAGATATGGTAGTCTGCTTCTGTAAAGATTCCGTAAAGGAAATCCCAATGGGGAATCCTACTCTGTACTATAGGGTCACTATAAGTTGGAATGGACTTGACAGCAGTGGGTTTTTTTTGTTTTATCATAATAGCTAAAATAAAAAATAGTGACAATACCAAATGGTGAGATTGCAGAGGACCTGTATTACTTATACATTGCTGGTGTGACTATAAAATGATATACCCACTCTAAAAAAGATTTTCTTAAAATACTAAACATGCTATGAGTATGCAACCTAGCAAATTCTTGGGCATTTATCCTGGAGAAATGCAAACAAGAGCAAGATTTTCTTGTTTGTTTCTTTTTCCCTGTGCCCATTGGATCTTCTGGGGTTTCTGCTTCTCCAGTACCCAGTCTTAGACATATGAGCCAATTAAAAAAAAAAACTAGGTTTTTTTTTTTTTTTTAACTGTACATGATTGTAAATGTCAGCTTTATTTGTAATAGGCCAAGGTTGAAAACCAAAATTTACCTCAATAGGTGAATACTTAAACACATTGTGATACATTCATACTATGGAAATAAAGGAATAAATTACTGATAAACACAACTTGGATGGATCTCAAAGGCATTATCCTGTATGAAAAACATCCAGTCTCAAATGTTCACATGTTACACGATTCCATGGATATAAAATTCTGAAACTGATAAAATTATAGAAATGGAAAACAGATTAAAGGTTGCCAAAGTTTAGAGGTGGTAGTGGAGAAGGGGGTGGGGGTGACTATACAGAGGTATCATGATGGAAATCTTTGTGGTGATGGAAAAGATCTGTATTTTGATTTTGGTGGTGGTCATAAACCTGTTGCCATCGAGTCGATTCTGACTCATAGTGACCCTATAGGACAGACTGGAAATCTTTACAAAAGCAGACTGCCACATCTTTCTCCCATGGAGTGGCTGGTAGGTTTGAACCACTTCTCTTTCAGTTAAGCCATGCATTTAACCACTGCACCATCAGCGTTCCTGGTGGTGGTCATACACATAATAAAGTGACATAGTACCAAGGGTACATATATAGTAATAATAATACATATATAGTACAATGACCTTGTACCAGTGTCATATTTCTGGATTTTATATTGTGCTATAATTATGTAAGATGTAACCATTAGGAGAAACTGGATGAAGGGTACACAAAACCTCTCTACACTATCTGTAACTTCATGTAAATCTACAATTATTTCAAAATAAAAATTTAAAAATAGTTCTTTTGAATTTAAAATTATATCTTAACTAGACCTTTACTCTAATGGCAATACACAATTGAAACAAATATCAGTTTTAATTAGATGAATTTATATTTACCCCAAACTTCTGTGTGTTCAAAAGTTATATGATGGAACAATGCCCAAGTGTGAAAATAGAGAGAAAAATTATATCTTTAATTTTCAAGATGAAAAGCAGTAAAAACATGTATTTCATATCCAAATTCCATGACTGTTTTGAAAGATCAAATGGTCAGTTTACATAATTCAGTTGAAGCTATTCTAGCTGTCTGCTGTGTGAAATTTTGCATTAAAATCCAATTATAAGGTTAAAATAATTTGAACATATTTAAAATCAAAATTCTAAGAAATAATCTTCAAAGAATTCTTCTCTTTCAACAACTATAAATTAAGTTCCATGTAATAAAAATTACAAGTTTCAGGTTGAATGAACCTGATTGCATTAGATGTAATTTATTCCCTGTTAGAGCCAGAACTTTATTGTTCAATTTATTTGAATTTTTTATATTTCTCATTTTATTTTAAAAGGATGACAAATGAACAAAAAATACTGCTATAATGTTAAAGAGAAGAAAATACAGGAGAACATATTTGTGATCAAATAGGCAAAAGAAAGTATTTTAAAAAATGACACCAAAAGAGTGATCTAGAAAATTAAAAACTTCTGCTCATTGAAATACACTTAAAAATGAAAACAAACACATATTGTGAGGAAATATTTGTAAAACACGTATCTCATAAAGACTTATTAAGATATAGAAAGACTTTTCAAAACGTAATAGTAGTAAAACAATGATTCTAATTTAAAAAATGGGTAAATTTGAACAGATATTTCACCAAAGAAAATATGTAAATGTGAAATAAACATATAAAAATATGCTCAATATCAATTAGACATTATGATAATGCAGATTAAAACCACAATAATACACCTCTACATCCCTATTAGAACGAGGGGGAAAAAAAACCCTGCTAATACTGCTGGCAAGGATGCATGGCAACCAGAACTCTCAACAATTACTCATGAGAATGAAAAATGCTATAGCCACTGAGTAAAACATTACTCAAATGTTATAAGATTAATGATTCTTACACTGAACCCAGCGAACTCACTTCTAGGTATTTATACAAGCAGAATGAAAACTTAGGTTCACTCAAGTACCTATATATGAATATTTATAGTGGTTTTATTTATAATTACCAGAAACTAGAAATAACCCAAATGTCCTTCAACTGGTGAGTTTTTGTGGCATATCAACACAATGGTATACTAAGCAATCTAAAGAATGAAATACAGATACACACAATACCATAAATGAATCTCAATGCATTATGCTAACCAAAAGAGGCTAGACTCAAAAGGCTACATATGGAATGATCCCA